TTTGAAAAACTCACTCGTGCAAATTAATTCCAAATTGAACTCGAAACCGTATGATTACCTATACATATTGTTTTTTCTGTTTTGAGTTTCAATAATCTCAAATGCACAAAACAAAACTCAGTGAAAAACATTTGTATGCCTTCCGAACAGCCCGGCCCTGAGTAACAAGTCAACTTGACATGAGCCCGCGATCAAATCGAAAACTAGTGCTTGGTCAGCGGTCAACTTTAAAAATACGTGACATTGATGAGCCCTAAACCCAAGCCAGCCATATGGTCACGCGATACTGGTCAGCGGATACCTTGTTTAGATAGCTGTCAATTGATCATAACATGGATGTCCAGTATCAAATATGTAGGCTGTAAACCAAGGCTGCATGCCTCGGTCGACCTGTTAGCGCGACGCCATGTTGCGTGACGTCATTGTTGGGCGCACGCGCCCGTGATCCACGCCGCTAGCCATGTTCACCATGAAAACCGAGTTGAAGTGTTTTTTTTATTTCTATGCATACATGTGGTTCTGTTCCTATAGCTATGGGGTTTAGAATTGGTGGACCGACCCGCTTCGAAAACGCCCGACATCTTTATATATGAGATGTGTGTAAAAGGCAGGATCTTTTCTAAAGCTTTCTTGGCGAACACAGCCTTCTATAAATTATGTTATTTTCAAAGAGTGATCAAGCTGTTGCAATTTTCATCCCCAGCTTCCGCGCTCTCCGCTATGACCACCTGGCACTATGACCCCCATTTGGCGACCAAGGGAAAATGGCTTGCTCTAAAAATTCTTAGACTCGGGTTTTTCTACGGAGGCCCGAGTAATAAAATAAAGGTTAATTTTACAGACGCGATTTTGTATTGTGGCTGCCAGTTTGAATTCTCAATACGCGGTCATCTTTTGCGAGATTTGGAGCCAAAACATCACAGGGGACAGTCGAGTGAACTCAGAAATTCTTGGGAGCATCCAGCCGCACTTCCTTGTAGCTTCGACTAATTCCCGAATATTTCTTGGTCCCAGATCCATCAAATGACTGCATATTTTAACTAAAAATGGCTGCCACTAAGTTAAACTCCGTCGATCTTTATTTGTCCCCTAAATGAATGTGGTGTGCAACCAGAAGCTTATCACACAAGAGTCTGGCCCCCAAAAATGAATAAACAAGCCACACAAATCCACAGGGAATCTAGACTAATAGTAATCTCTTTTTTCCTCGAAAATCCTTGTGGAAGAACGCAAAACAAGAAAGCGTCCGAGCGTGATGTGCGAGCAGTCATGTTGCGCCCGCTAGGGTCGCGGGCTTTGGGAGACACAATTAGCGGCTCCCGGCATTACCGCTCTCCGCTCGCGAGTTACGCTCACAGTCACGCTCGCATGCTCAGTTGTTTTGCGTTCTTCCCCACGGATTTTCGAGGGAATCAAGTCAACCTTACCGGTGAACAGCTTACAACTGTCAACACTTAACTATAGCGGTAAAAATTGGCGTTTGGATCGATCGATCTATTATTGTAATTTTTTTAGCGAAATCGGGAACGATAAAACGTGTTTTTCTTCTATGTCACTCAAATTGCGATCATGAATCTTCAGTGTCACAGGGATTCAGGTCAATTATATGGGAAATGTGCATGAGTTCTGACGGACATTCAGTTCGCAAAGAAAATCTCTACATTTGCCTAATCTGATCACTTCTAGTCCTAGCTACACTTTTGTTCATTAATTACCGTCTGACAGAATAAATCAACACCGGAACTTTACAGATGAGTGACTGACAGCTCATTTGCATATCATTTGCACAATCTGATCACCCACTAGAATTCGGTGCTTGCATGCTATCGTATTATATAAGGCCCTTTGCACGATCCGGTCACATGGGGCGGAATTATTTATGCTAGGACGCAAGTTATGCAGTGGGACTGCCAAAACAAAAGAACTCGTACCAGTCCAGCACGACTTTCCTTTGTTTTGAAAGTCCCACTGTGTAACTTGCGTCCCAGCATAATTAATTCCGCACCATGTGACCGGATCGTGCAAAGGGCCTATCACGAGTTTAAAAGGAGAGGTCCAAGTAACGATCCTTGTGGAACTTGTAAAGGGATTTCTTAATAGTTTAACCGTGATATTGTCAGTTGACACTTGTATTATCTATTAGGGGAATACGAATTCTATGACATGTATTTCATTAAATACACAAGTTTCAGACTTTTTCAATGCTTTATTCCCCTGTCTTTGTAACTTATCCCCTACAAGAACTACTCATGTCTGAATTATGCGTTCATGAGACATGATCGGACGAAGTTGCTCTACAAGCCGTCGGATGTTACACGTCAGCTATCTTGCCCGGCTCTGTTGATGGCGGTGGCCGTCTTGATGGCTTATGTTTCTTGAGGCACTCATGGATACACTTTTTCTGCAAAAGAAAGCATAATAACGGAGTAACCTTCATAGTTTTCGTGAACTTAGTCCATCTTGATTCCCGGATGAATGGGAGCCAGTTTGTAATTGACTGACTGCTCTTCAACGGGATTTGGATTTGGGAAAATCGCCATACTGCATTGATAAGTTAATTTGTAAGGCATTCTGACAGATTGTAAACAAGTAAAATTTAAAAAAATTGGTGAAACTTTCCAAGATAACCTTTTTTAACCCGCAACATTTAAACGTTTGTTCACTACGTCTTACGCTTGAAGATTCACGAAATGTAACGATTTGATCCGGGGGGAGGAGGACAACCACGTGAAAAGGTTCGAGTTGTTCGTCAAGAAATTTGAGTCAGTAGAAAACAAATTTGGGCCTGACTCCAGCTTTATTTGACTCCTAAGAGATGCAATTTTAACAACGGAAATGGCAGCATTTGTTATCATCATTACTTCGAGAGAAACCCTGAAAGATAACTTGGCAGCTTAAAATAGTGGTGTTTCTTCCTGAGTTCGCTAAGCGAGACAAAAATCCTTGAAATATGCCCCACCTCCTCACCCCATCGGGCAATTTAGGTCAAATGAGTAAAGATATGATTAAAAATGAAGCAAACTGAGCTTACCATTTCAGGTGAAAACGAAGGACGAGGGCGATGGTGTGGATCGTTTTCTTCGTCAGCAAGCTCGCCCGGTGTTGTTGGCTTCATCTCCCCGTGGCACTTTTTGATGCACTTTCTCTGAAAAATGAAACATTATGATAGTGTATAACTCTAATTGTTCTAATTAACTTAGTTTCTATGGCGATTTACCGGATGAATCTGTCTGATAACTCCGGCGCCACTTTGACTAAACGATTCTCCCATGATATGATGCGTCAAGGTATTCTGACAGATTGTAAAATTAACCGAAAAATCGAGAAAGATATAAGTGAAATTTTACAATACAATTTCAATTAACAATTTCCATGAAACTTATGCCGGAAAACAATTGTTATTAACATTCAATCCATTTTTTTTCCTTTTCATGGACCGAAAGCCCAAGTGACCTGCAAATAACGGCTTACACTGTAAGCCTTGAAATAATGGTTTGCTCATTCCTGGTTCAGACTAAATGCGTTTTGCTGCCAATAATATTTAGCTTATGCCTAATTGTAACTACGCTCTCGGCTAAAAAATGTAATTAACAAATAAAGAAGCCTAGCCTTGTATTACACTGTGATAAAACACGACGGACATTTGAGAAAACGAGGGAAATCTACATTTCTCGAGTATTTTCAAATGTTCGGAGTTTTTTTATCGCAGTGTAATGCACGGCTTAGGCTTCTTCACTTGCTTTATGATATAGATTTTACATGCCGCAAGTAGAAACAACCAAGCCCACAGATCGACAAACTGACGCAATTTAATACCAATAAAGTGCAACATGCCTCGTCGTCAAAACTTTTTGCTTCTTCGAAGAGAACTCTTTCACAAATTTCTTCAAAGAAAATGTTTTTCGCCATCACCAACAAAAATGTTGACTAGAGGTAATGGGTCGAAAAACAATAAAACACGCTTTTATATTTATAAAACATGGGGTTTCGACCAATCAGATCGCACGTAGGGTAATCTCTACATTATGATTTGTGATAGTCCGGCGGTATTGGCATGAATTAATATTTTGCCTTCACCGTAAAAAAATGAAACCGTACAGAGAACAGGGTGCTAACGTAGTCCGCAAAGGCTCATGGTTAATAAGTTTGTAGAAAGAGATGGTTGAGAAACTTATGACATTCTACGGTCAGCCTTGCCACTAGCACTTTCGCACAAGATTTATATTGTACTAGGGTATTGTATGCAGTAAACTGTAATAAGTAAATAAATAAATAAATAAATCTAAAAGATAATAATGCTGCGGCACATTCTGTTGATGTGACAAATTTTACGCAGTGATTCATCTACAACTTCATGTATGATGACGCATCGATGGTGAGGTGTGACAAGGGATCGTGACAAAAAAGCACATGGTGATCTGAATTATGGTTGGACATAAAACGATACACATCAATCTCCCCTTTACCAGATCTCGAAAATCGAAAGATAAGGAAATTCTAGGAGGAGAAATCTAACTAATAAATTCTGTACTGATACTCATTAATGTTGACAGACTGTGTCGAGGACGCGTCCATCGTGATGTGTGAAAATGCTAAAGCTTTAGCTTAAATTCATGTTTGGATGAAAAGGAATAGATTGCACCATATATGAAATTAGCGTCTTCTACGGTTTTCGTTTGTTTTAATTATTCTACAAGCTTTAATAGCGACGATTTCTCTTCATTTAAGAATTCAGCCGAGGAGGCGAGACAGCTAAGAAATGACATATTAAGTTTGAAATTAATCGTCCAGATTAACAAACTTTCACATGCTGCATTAAGAACAAAAGAAAGAGTTCTGAAAGTCAGGCACAATGTCCTTCACATCGTTTTACAGGTAAATCAGAGTAAACCATAACTACTAATCTTTCTGACTGGAATCCACGCGAAAAGGACGACGGCTCGACGTCCTCGTGTTGTTCGTGGCGCAACGCACTCTGGTAAAAAGTGGCGCAGTGCACTCTGGTTAAATGCTATGCATTCTGGTAAAAGGTGATGAATTCGAATATTCGTACCCCCTTTTATATATTATTCTTAAATCCTGATTATGTTGCTGCTCGCCCGCTATGCTCTCTCCACAGCAATAAATAACGGTATCTGATTTATCTTTCATTCTGTTGTTTATATATCAACCTTAAAACCCCAAAGGTGGTGCCACCGCATTTGGTCGGGGGTACACGGTTCCTTATTTTCTTAATATGAGGTTTTTGGGGTTTACTTGTCCGGCTTTGGCACATGTAGGATGTTATTTGATGTATCACTTGTCCACTTTATTGTAAGTTTATTGTCACAATTAAAACATATCTTGGGCCGGGCTGACCAACGCGCCCATGCCTCAAACTTTGAGTGAGTTCGGTTGTGTAAAGAAGGCAAAATCTGTTAGATCCCTTCCCTGAACTATCAAAGAGTGTTTTAAATATGAAAACAAACGTGGTGATCGCAGGAAAGCGGTTATTGCAAAATATCGGGATTTCTCAGTGTCTCGCAGATCAACTATTTTGATCAGCTCCGTCTAATAATTAAATTATAACAGTTAAATGTTAAACGTTGCATTGTTCGCATGCGGATTTCTTTATTACGACTGCAAAATGCACCGATTTGGGTTGTATAAATAATATAATTATTAGATAGTTACGAAGCGCACTAGGCTTACCAGGATATGCCGAGGGGGACGAGGACGAGGACGAGGACTTACACCGCTTGGACGAGGAGGACGAGGACTTACACCGCTTGGACGAGGACGGCGTGGATCGTTTTCCTTGTCCGGCTCTGTTGGCAGTTTTGATGGCTTATGCTCTTCGAGACACTCTTTGATACACATTCTCTACAGGAGAAAGCATAAAATTAATGAATCCTCATTATTTTCACGAACCTAGCTTTTATCTTTATGCTTGGATGAATCTGTCGGGTTTTAGATTTGGGATATTAGCCATACTACATTCATAAGTTAATTGGCTTGCATTCTGGCGGATTGTAAACGAGCAAAATTAAAACGAACATCGTTAAAAGTTTCCAAGACAATTCAATTCATTTGGCAACATTGAAACACTCCTTGAAATCGGCAAAGACAACCAATCGCTAGCTTAAAAATTTTTCTAACTTTACAACATAAAACGATTTGGTTCAGGGAGAGGGAAAGGCTTCCATGTAAAAAGGTCAGGGATGCTCGTCCGCAAATTTAAGTCAATTTGGACGTGGCTCGAGATTTAATTTGACCTCTGAAATATACCATTTTAAAAACGAGCAACTCTAAACGATAACTTGACAGCTGGAATGGTAGCTTTTGTTCCTGAACACCCTAAGCGAGACCAAAATTCTTGATATAAATCCCAAAGCGAGACGACGAGCATTTCCGATCTTTTCATATGGGCTTCCCCTCTTCTTCATCGGCTCATTTGGGGCGAACGAGTAAAGGCATTAAATAGTTATGAAGCAAGCTGAGATTACCACGGCAGGCGGTAAAGAAGGACGATGATGATGATGATGGTGAGGATCGTTTTCCTCGTCAGCTAGTTCGCCCGGCTTTGTTGGATTGACGCCGCATTCTTCCATGCACTCTTTCTGCAAAATGATGAATAATGGTGTAACCCTCATTATTTTCATAAGCTTAGTTTCCATCTTGATCTCCAGACTAATCTGTCTGATTAGACTGAGATTATGTCCCAAACTGAATATTAACTGAACATTAGAAAATCACCAAACTTCTTGATTAACAGGATAATTTGCAAAGCTGTCTTGCAGAATTAAATTGGACGATTTTAGAAACATCTCGGAAAACGTTCCAAGGCTTAAGGCTCCTTTAAAAGACTATCAACCATCGATAAATTCAATGAGACCACTGAAATCTTCATAGAAAATTTCAAGAAAAGAAGTTGGTAACTCACACTTTTAATAAGACAATTTTCCTTAAGATTGCTGCAAGTTGGGGACGAAACATATGTATATAAAGCAAACTATTTAAGCTTACCAAGATTGGGTGAGGCGCTTTATGGTGTGGATCATTTTGCACATGTATCTCGGCCAACGCGACGGTAGCTCCAAGAAACAGGACCAGTATTAGAGAAATCATTTTGAACACTGTCTCTGCTGATTCACAAAGCAATATGGCTAGCACAGCTCATGCCCGCCATTTTATAAGCCTGTGAGATTGGGATTGCATCTAAATTGACAAAAGCAAGAACAAAGAAGTCTTTGTTTGGGCGTTATTTGCTTTCTACGCAGCGCGCAGAAGATAAACAGGTTTCTCAGCTGATATCAATAGTGAGTGTTTACTTACTTACTGAACGCACGTTTCCTAAAATTGTTAAATTTAAGTCGACTTTTCCGGCTCTTTAAAAGAACTCACATGATATTTGACAATTTCTTGAGTATTTCCAGATTTTCCTCGCTTAGTGAAGACCGAAAGTCACTTTCGTCACCTTATCACCTTGGTTACATGTTGTAAATGAGCTCGGTAAGATTGTATTGTCAAAATTCAAATAATTCTTTCCCTAGTGGGTTATGGGAGCAGTTTTTATTGATTTTGTGCACCCTTTGTTTCGGGGACCATGAAACCATGTAAACTAACATAATAAAATTGCTTCATATCTTTTGGGAAAATAAAAGTTTTATTTAAACACAGCACTGCAAACAAAGGTATCTTTACAAAACGGTATATTTTGTTTGTGTGTTTGGAGGGAAAAACAAGTTTACTTTGTGGATACAAAAACGTATTCGCAGCAGTATTTGATCCGTTTTAAGCCTTTGTAACCTCCCCCTCCCAACACCCGCCTTACACTCGTTTTCATGTTAAGTCCAGTTTCTTTCTGAGCTAATCAAATACTAAAAACACCTTTTTATTTACCAGGGACCTTTGTACCACAAAAAAGCACAAAAACGTTTTATTGGTTGAAGTCGCTCTTAAAAATAAAACATTCAATTTTGCGATTAAAAGCAGTAAATGGAAATAATCTTTATGAAACTAAATAATTTTCTTTTGTGCAGGATGCAAACACAGTCCCTTCTGGCAAACATAAAAACCACAAGGTTTATTTTTGCTGCCACTAAGCAAAAGTTAGTCGATCTTTATTTGTCCACTAAATGGATTTGATGAACCCCTGTCGGCGTGGGCAACCAGAAGCTTATCACACAAGCGTCTGGCACAATAGAATGAGTAAAATCAAGCCACAAAATCCACAGGGAATCGAGCCAGATTACCTGTGAACAGCTGTTTGCGACAGCCCCTTTCACGCTTGCTGAATAAGAGATGGAGAAATGCGACCGCGCTTGAGTGAGTTGGAAGTGTAAAAGGATAGGGAATGGGAGGGACGGAAAACGAGAAGCGCGGTAGCGTGGAGAAGCAAGCGGGAAAGAGAGAGAACATGTTGCGGATGCCAACAGCCAAAGGACTCTTAAGCGAACTGGGCTGAAATGAGATGCAGAGTTCTTATTTATACTCGCTTATTAAGGGACTGGTGCGAATAGCATGCTTTTCGCGACAGTCCCTTTCACGCTCGCTGAATAAGAAATGGAGAAATGCTCCGCGCCCAAAAGTTGAACGTTTGAGTAAAGACCCGAAACAATTGCCAACACTCAAAAGCGAAATCCAAAACTTAAACTAGCAAATCTTAACCACCCAAAATTTGAAACAAAGGGCTAAAACTGTAAGGAGGGTGTAAATAAAATATCTACCAGTCCTCGAGTAGTAAAACAGAGTAAAACATTAGGGATAAAGGCACACAATTAAGGAGAAACAAAAAGTTGCAGAAGAAAACCAACCTCAATGATGATAACCTGAGCGTCAGTAATCCGACTAAGGCATTAGACACCCTTTCAGGAAGAGGGGAAATGATGCAAGAGCGCGTGCATAATAACATAAGCCCAAAGCGCTGACTAGCCAGGCGAGACATTGGAAGTTCGAATCCTAGTGGTGACTTCTCATTAGTTTTCCTTTTCTTCTTCAGTGTTTCTTCTTTTTCTGTCAAGAAACCATTTACCGAAAGGTAGCGTTTGTCTTTTCGTTTCTTGTGTCAAAAAATCGTCTGGAGCCTTTAATCATTCGTTTATATCGATTGCTTTGGAACTCTCGAGAACGAGAGTCGGGTCTACAAGTGCCTACGGGATCCTTTCCTGAACAGTGGCTAATGATCGAACCTTTTCCGTTTTAAGCGGTATCTTTTAGGGGTCTAATGAAGCTAAAGCAACGTCCACATTAGTCTCCTTTGGGAGTTAAATTCATATTTTCCGACGAGCATCCCTTGCCTTCTCATTTGGTAGTCCCCCCCCCCCCCCGGTTCCAAATGTCTTACGGGAAGTGATGGAGTGATGGAGTGAAATCGTTCCCCCACTACAACTTGGAAAATAATATTTTCCAA